AGCAATTGGAAATCAATTAATTTTGGTTCAAACGGTACCAAGGTAACATCCCTGAAGCCGTAAAACGATTGCCCAGAAGAATGTTTCAACCATGGTTTTTCCACAACTTCTAGAACGTTCTCTAATCTTACCCCAAACTCGTTTTCTTTGTAGTAACCAGGTTCTAAAAAATTATACTAGACTATACACTGAATACGTAAGAAAAAATAAAATAAAAAGATTTTATTGTTTAATGAAATAAACCAAAACTAATTAAAAATTGATGGAATATTTAAATACGTAGATATTTCTTTTTTTCTTTTTTTTTTTTGTTATTTTGGTAACTTGTATATGAGGTGTATACAAGTGTCATCATAAGCTAGAAAGTCAACCTTAAGTTTAAACATGGCAACTAACCATTGGATAGAAAATATCCGGGTTCAAATATTTCGTCATTTTCGCCAAAGTTATTGTAGTGAACGAGTATTGGAGCTAAAAATAAAATAAAAATTAATATTAACAGTGAAACTTTTATTTTATTATATTATAACCAAAAAATTAATTTTTATTTATCTTTTATTGAAAATATTAGGTAGTAAAATCTCTCATTGGCGGCCAGCGAAAGCCGGGTGGATGTATGTGTAGTACCTTAAATGGGGCGTCTTCATAAGTCAAGTTTTGACATTAAAAAATTTTTAATAAGATACTTTCTAAGAAGTTGAAAATTGGCCGTTGGGAGAGGTAACCGAAATGGCAAACTTTACCGTATTTTTTATATCCTAATATTTATTATTAATTGTTATGCAACTGTGGATATATGTATATCGTACATTCATGAACTCCCAAAAATGACCCAACTCCATGACCTGTTCCATGCATGTAATCTAATCCAATTTCCCAAAGGGGTTGTCGGGCCAAGACATCGGCCACAGACATTTTCATGTGTCCCGGAAAAACCAACGACGAAAATTGTATTAAACCCATAAGTACTCTGGTATAGGCTCTTTTGTGTTCTTCAGTTGGTTCGCCCAAGTGGGTTGTTCGAGTTACGTCAGTGGTACCATCTTAAAAAGGAAATATTAATAAATATATATGTAAAATTATCGAGTTGGTTTAGGAAAGCGAAGTTCTCAGTAAATTGATGAGTGGAAAAAATGACATTTTTCTATATACTTATAACTGCCTCCCATCCGGTGCAGGGGCTGCCACAATAAACTAAAGAAAGCAAACTTCGCCTTCCTAATTTGACCCGACCATGTTATCCCGAAGTTTTACCGTAATACTGCCCTCCTGAATCTATAACGATTGTATTATTGTCAAAGATGGTTGCATTCGTGGAAGGACTGGGTTCGTAGTGTGGTTGGGCACCATTAGCTCCAAACCCAACAACTGTATTAAAACTGTTACCTAAACTTAATATCTGTTCAAATCTGAATTCGTCTATTATATTCACAATTTTCATTTCGTCTAATTCGTCTCCTTGGCTAAACTAAAACCAACAAAATCTTTATGTATTTAAAAGACAAAACTCAACCAACCTCTTTGCTATTAAATGTTAAACTGTTCATGAAATGCATATTTTTTTTTTTTTTAATAAGTGGGCATTCAAACAACAGTTGACTTAAACAACCGTGAGATGAAATTTACAAGAAGTTGAGTATACGTATAGGCGGCATATCCAAGAAAAGTTATTCAAAGAAAGGATGTTCAACCAAAAGCTTTGATAAAAGTAATTATAAAAGCAAACTAACTCTCAGTTCCAGATGTGCAAAAAATCGACACAAGGCTGCAGCATCTCTAAGATGAGCATTTTGCATGCCCATGATCTCTGTCGGATTTTTTTTGGCTTTGAAATATGTAATCGGGGATTGTTCGAGAAGTCGTTTTTCTTCTGGGATAAGGTCCACAATAGCCTGGCTCGCTCCTGCACTGAACACGCAGGTTGTTGGTAAAAGAACTACCCTCCATGCTTGAGTCATTGTTGGCAAAACTGTCCAAATATCTTCATAATCGTGAACACTACAAAATTTGGGCATTCTGTCATCTGATGCGATAGGTAGAACAACTAAGCGATTTCAAAGTCAAATAACTCAAAGGTTTCTAATTATATCATACAACGAATGATACCAAATCGATCAGATTAATGCTCTCTTTAATATGTAATTGTTAATCAATTGAATATAAATTATTGGACGCTAAATAACATGATACCCGAAGCTTGAAGGTCGGGTGCTTCAACTGACAACCCAAGGATGGTCATAACTTTTGAATGGTGGTATCCAAGTGTTTGCATTCAATGGAAAACTAATGGATCGATTATTTGTCTTTGAAATCGCCTATTGTTTCTATTATGTGTCGTGGATGTAGAAGTAATAGTTTTACTTCCTTTTGGGGATAAAACAATAAATGAAATTATGCACAGTATTCTAAAAATATTGTAACAAAACTACATGCAGGTGTGGGTTTTCTCTAGGACTCAGTTTTCTTGATGACATCGTATTTCACATTTGCTAATTTCAACAAATTGCTTTCTATTAGTTGGTAATGTTAATAATGATCTCCTTAAATTAGATTTTGCGGCACTTATTTGATACTTGTGTATTTATAGTTTCATTTACTGTAATAAACATCCAATGGAATTTTATATCCAGTTCAAATTTACTCATTTATAGCGTACATTAGTGAAGACTTTGTTATTCCATATTCAGCGTTGAGATGTTTTGTGACGTTGTTTTTCAAAAGTTTCGTGGGATCAACGAAAAGGCGAACGTAAGTGTGACTAACTATGGCATAACTTCGAAGGAAAGGATTGCATGGTATGTCGCGCCCTCGGACATTTAAGAGCCAAGCTATTTCGTCTAATGCGGTCACCACCATCGCATCGGCCTTGTATTGGTTCAGTTCATCGCGCAGTTCTTTCACTTTTGTCAGCCATGGCTTGCCTATTTAGAAAACAAAAGGGAGTCTAAGAAAAAGGGAAAATAATTGTTTACTATAACAATAAGTAAATTTTAGAAAATACCACAAATGGCGCGGTAAACGCCATCTGTAGTACGATACTACATATTAGGATTACGTATGCTACAACAAGGTCCATTTAAAAATATCCGGCGTAGCTAACCTCAACGTGATAGGCACGTTACCATAATCGAATAAAATAATTCGAAGTGGTTTGTATTCTGTCGAAACTGTCAGACGCGGATCGCGATTTCGATCTTTCTGGATCTCGTCAGCGCGTCACAGACAGCTCCGAAAGATCACAGACCAACTTTTACCTGCTGTCTTAACAGCGCATTTTAGAAAATACTACAAATGGCGCGGTAAACGCCATCTGTAGTACGATGCTACATATTAGGATTACGTATGCTACAACAAGGTCCATTTAAAAATATCCGGCGTAGCTAACCTCAACGTGATAGGCACGTTACCATAATCGAATAAAATAATTCGAAGTGGTCCGTATTCTGTCGAAACTGCCAGACGCGCTGATGAGATCCAAAAAGATCGAAATCGCGATCCGCGTCTGGCAGTTTCGACAGAATACAGACCACTTCGAATTATTTTAATAAGTAAATTATTATGCAGATTGTTATTACACGTGATGTAGTAAGGGGGGAGGGACTGAGGAGTATTGAATAAAATATAAAGGTAATTGTTGAAAGTATTGATACTGGAGATCAATGTTTGCGAGAATCAAGTTATATTGTACTCCTTTATGGTGATTTTTTAGCTGAAACAATTATAGGAATAGATCTTCAGGAGTGGATTTAATCTGATTAAAACTTAATATGTAATATTAATTCGTGTCCTTGTTGTCGCTACTGTTATCTCTCATACCTTAGTGGTAAGATGAGTACTTTAAGCCCAAACGTCCGTGGTTCTGTTGGATCGAGGATGTAGCAGTAGCACCAATATTTTCTCATTAGTTTGAGGTAATTTGTAGTGGATAAAAATTAAATGAATTACCACATTAATATTGAATATCAACCACCATTAAGTTTTATTAATGTGAAAATTAATTTTGAATTTTTCATCCACCGCAGCCTACCTTAGGATAATGATGGAAATTTTTTTTGTGGTGTGACAACATATTTATATTGGAAAAACTTTAGCGGTTGTTGTAGAACAAACAGAATAGCTCAAAACCCCAACGCCAAAACACGACACTGTAGTTGTCAATCTGGACAACAACTACAAAAATTTTTCCTTATTTATCTATTTATAAATTAAATGCATGTATCTAATACTTTTTTATTTTTCAGGTAGGTGTAATCCACAGTGCCTGTTTGGTGAGTTATATCTCTTACTGTTCTTGAATTTTTACTATTAGTACTTCCTATTGCTTACCGGAATATTTAATGTCCAAAACGAATGCGTCTTTTTCTTTTTGGTACGCGGTATGATTGACCCAAATTAGGTCAATCAGATTGGTAGTCAATTTGACCAGTTCCAGTTTCGTATCCTGTAGCTGATAGCTCAATTCGTTGAATTCGGAGTACGGTATCAATTTTGGGTCAACTCCGATTCTTGAACCTGGTTTCAATTCCGACCTCAGCCAGTTTGCTTTGGTTGGTACGTTTTGGTTTCCTTCTCGCATCAAAAGCCATTTGCAATTTAACTGGTCATCGGCTTGAAGATGGTAACGACCATCCGTCCACAAGGCCGCCTTCTTCATAGTTACTATGACGTCCCCATACGTACCACTAAACCCAGAAATGTATTCTCTTCGTTTGTCGTAATCCGAAGTATATTCGGTCTTTAATGAAAGCAAAGAATGATGAACATAACCATAAATATAATAGGATTGATGGTTTTTGTTATTAATAGATTAATCAAAAGGCCTTTTTCGACGACTAACATGAAAATAATCCCAAAATTGCCCTATACTTCATTTACTTTCTCTAGCGATGTTTCCCTTCCAATGTCTTGGATGCGCGCTGGCAAAATCGTAGGTAGGGAGAAAAAAGCTCATAATACTCTCGACTCTTGTTCATTAAACATACTTTTTCATACAGTACCTGCCAAAAGTTTTGTTCAATCATGAATAGTAGTGCGAGTCGAAAACAAGCGTTAAAGCCTTTAACATGTCTTCAAATGTAAATAAACATCTCGTTGATATTTTCAGTAGTAAATGGTACCAATAACAGCACATTTGAACAATGCAATTGTAGTGGATAAAATGGTCAATTTTTCCGTGCAGTACTGTACGGATTATACGCTCCTCATCGGTTAAGAGTTTGGCCGAGAGTTGTCTCCTTCCTTTTCTGGCCTAGTGCTGTTCTTTTCTACTTTGCGCCGGTCAAACTAAAGGTCACATCGCTACAGAAAGTAAACGAAGTATACCATAATTGAAAGGATTCGAGATATTTTGTACATTTTTACTTAACATTATGACTTTTACCCTTTCTCTCATTAATAAACCGAATGAATTCGGCACTCATTCATCAGAAATACAATTTATAGAACAAAAATTCTAAATTTATTTACGTACCATGTGTTCGTCGTATGATGTGATGATATAAGCATCAATGGGTTGTTCTTTTAATTGTATTTCGTCTCTCATGACTTCACGCAAAGCTATTAGTCTGGCGGTGGTATTAACTCTGCTGGGGGGTTGGGGTGCCGCCCCCCTTGTCGAACAGGCCTTCCTCAATTCACCCCTTTCACGGGCTCTTAAATATTGCTCCACATATTTAGCATACTTTTCCCGGTTGGCAGTACTGTTGTTGTTGCCCTCAGGTGTTACTGGAAAAGATAAGATTAGTACAGATTAAACAGTGTTGGATTACTTTAGACATTAAAGGCATTTAAAGTCAATTTAAAATTTTTCTAAATGAATTGGAATATCCTGTCCGTTAAACGCTTCGACAAAGAATGTGATTTATTTTATAACGTTCAAGAAGTCTATTTATTCCGTATTTAGTTAGTACCAAAAATAATGAAGAGTGGAATTCTTGTGCGAATTCCAAACTTTCATTTCAAGCATTCGCTAAATGAGTGGAGCATCGGAACTTCTTGCGTGCCAAAAATTGTTCAGTTACTAGAAGAAATTCCAGGCGTCTTCTTTGTATCAGGGTTGCATGACGAAAATTCGGTTAGAATTTTTCGCCTTGTGGACCCTTCATGGCAAAGGTCTAGACTGGTTTCTATACCTGCATATAATCACAACCCAAATGTACATGATATTGACCCGGTTGTTCCCAGTCCAAAAAGAAAAAAGACGACGTGAGCTCAACTCACACTGACCAAATTGCACAATAGAATGGCATAATGAACAGATTATTAGAGTAGCAAGGAAAGGATTAATTGCGTGGGCTCGAGAACAATAGATATGACGTCAGTAGTTTAACAGGGTAGCAGAAAAGGGGTGCGATGTTTAGAGGAAAAGCCACCCACATAATGCTCACTTCCAGAGGAGTTGCGACTGGCTTTCGACAATCATTATACAACGAATTCGTGCGTGTCGGAAAGTAAAATAGATACCGGGTTTTTAATAAAAAATAGATTTGAAAATCTTACTTAACAAGCAAAATTTAATTTGAAAATATTTCCCTCAGTAACACTTCAATATTGTGAACAGTTAGCACACAAGAAGCGACTAATTTATTTCCATTGTCTATCTGTATTTTTTTTAACTGTTAGATAAAAACAATCTTTCTTTTGTTATCTTATCTACCAACATAATTAATTCAACGGCTGTTGAAAATAATATAAATTCAAAATAATTCAAGTAAAAAAGCAAGTTTGTCATCGTTTGGAATCTTTCTCATGGTAAGGGAAATCCCTAAATAAGCGAATACTTATACCATAAATGTATACGTTTTATATCCCTACGTTGTGGCGCTATCACGAGATGCACTCCACAGTGCTTCCAGATCCTAGAGGAGAAGATGCAGAATACTGATCAGACATAGTGTATAGTGGATATCACTTTTATGCAAACTGCTTAGAATTTTTGCCTGAGGTATTACCGAAAATTGTTCTATAGCTAAAAGAAATTCCACAAGTCTCTTAGTTATCAGGACTCCATAATCGTACTTTAGTAACCGACTATTTCGGCGAAGAAGGACCTCGTTACCAGAAGCATACACATGCAAACGTACGTTCGCGTATATACACTACACACCATCGATTATTGTTCTTTGTGTGTCATTCGGTTACGTAATGGTTTAAACACTTCCAACCACACGATATTTATGTACATGTAATGCACTGGCCTAATCGTGAGGTATCTCATACATACGTCGAAATTCCCACATATGAATTTATACGTTCATGTAGACCGATGAATAATAATCGTTTGTTTTTTGTTGTTGTGGGGTGCATTAGGCGAAAGGGTTAATTGCGTGGGCGTAAGAACAATAGAACTGACGTCAGCATACGACTAGGAGAACATAACAGATGTCGAGAATGTTTTATGCAGGGAATTTAGGGTGTCTCGTGTGGCGGTTGCTTCGCTGGAAGACTTGATGTTATCGTGTTTGTGTGTTGGTGTGTGAGTTTGTATACACACCCGAACGGAATTGAACACGGGGCTATATTTTTAAGGTACAGTCGGAGGCGTACAATATGAATTGTAACTAAAAGAATGTTAACTCAATTACCATTTCATTAAACATAATGAAAATACTTCTTAAGATGAACAACAAATGTGTAAAAAGCTCCTCAGTAGCATAGCTTGGGGGCTTAGAGGTGCTATAGTCCCTGACGGCATACAAAGCAAGAGGGGCGCTTGAAATGTTTTTTCGCTACTAGATTGGTGTTAGGACCACTAGTCCAGAGATGTAATTTATTTGAAATATTTGCATTTTCTATTTATAAAATGCAAAATACATTTTTGGCGTTAAAAGTTTTGCTAGTGATCAAACATTATATAAAATGATGAATGAAAGTTGCTCACATTGACCTTTGAAGGTATGTATTAGAAACTTAAAAATTTAACTGAAGCGAGCCTAAAAAATTCTAAACTCCTTGGAAATGGATAATCTAAAATATTGGATCGATATTGCTTTCCGGGTTCAATATGATGGTCCATGGATTTAACCAAGTACAAATTAGTAGATATTTTTGAATTATTAAATGTAGACGCGCCACAGTGTTTCGAAGAAGCGAATTTTCGACCATGTCACAAAGAAACGAATTTTATATATTTATTTATATAATTACTCCACCGTGTCACAATAAAGCGAATTTATTTGCTTAGAAATGGGACATAATTAGTTTAATCTAATATTGAAAATGAATTGTACAATTTAGAATGACTTGTCGACAATGTAACTACAGTTAATAACTACGATAATTTAATAATACAGTCGAACCTGGATAATTGAGAACTGGGTAAGCGAGAAAACTCTATTAATGAGAGTACGAGGGTGGATTGATAAGTTTCCGGCCTGACCAAGAAAAACAAGGTTTTTAAAAATTTTTTTTTTTTATTTCTCAACATAATCTCCTCCAAGGCTGATACATTTCTCATAGCGGTGTTCCAGTCTATTAATGCCATCTCTATAGACTGATTCGTCAAGCTCCTCAAAATAACCATTTACAGCTTCGATTACTTCTTCATTGTCCGCAAATCTCTTACCGCCAAGCCATTTTTTGAGATTAGGGAACAGAAAATAGTCACTCGGGGCTAGGTCTGGAGAGTAAGGAGGGTGCGGCATCAATTCAAACTTTAGATCGTTGATTTTAGCCGTCGCAACGATTGACGTGTGCGCTGGTGCGTTATCGTGATGAAACAAGATTTTTTTCTTCGCCAGATGAGGTCGTTTAATTTTCACCTCGTGGCTCAAACGTTGCAATAAGTCTGCGTAGTATTGACCAGTGATAGTATTACCCTTTGCAAGGTAATCAATGTATATAATACCTCTTGCATCCCAAAAAACAGTAGCCATAACCTTGTTCGCCGAAAAAATTGTTTTTGCCTTCTTTGGAGTTGGTTCCCCTGGTCCAATCCACTGTTTAGACTGTTCTTTGGTTTCAGGAGTGTAGTGGTGGACCCACGTTTCGTCAACGGTTACGAATCGACGCAAAAATTCGCTTGGATTACGCTTATACAATGACAAATTTGCGGTAGAAATGTTTTTTCGAATCAATTTTTGGTCGACTGTTAGCAAACGCGGCACCCATCTTGCACAGAGCTTTTCCATATGCAAATGTTGGTGCAAAATATGTTGCACACGTTCATATGACATCTTACAGGTCTCAGCTATCTCACGCACTTTCAATCTGCGGTCTCCCAGCACTATTTGATGAATTTTTTCGATCATATCTGGAGTTGTGACCTCAACGGGGCGTCCTGAGCGAGGCCCATCAGAGGTGCTCACACGACCCTTTTTAAACTCGGAAACCCACTGCTTAACGGTTGAATATGACGGGGAGGATGTCCCCAGTGTTGAGTCCATCTCTTTTTTAATTTCCTTCGGCGTTAACCCCTTCAAATAAAAGTATTTGATGACAGCACGATTTTCCTGCTTTTCCATTTTTACGAAAACCACAGAGGCGTCTTGTTCAGCGTGCTGTCAAACCTACACTAGCAAGGAGATCGGGCTGAAACTATAGCTACAAGCTATCCAAGGATGGTACTATAGAATGTCACCTCAAGGTAGGCCTAGTGGCGTCATCTCTTGGTTAGGCCGGAAACTTATCAATCCACCCTCGTATTTGCCAGGTCCAGTCATTTTACCCTTCTAAAGCCTCTATAAGTGAGAAACATAAAACCTGTACAAGTGACGGTCATTTTTCATGCGTGAACCTCTTTAAGTGAGATTCCTACTTGCCTATACCTCTATAAGCGACAGTTTACTTTTGCTATTTTAGGACTCGTTCTTAAAATTCAAGAGACTCTTATTTCATTCGAATGACCAAATGTGCGTATCGCCTTGTTTATCAATCTTATTACAGTTTACAGTGAGTTCATAAAAGCAGTTGCGAAGAAAGGTCCTGTACTTCCTCATAATTCCAAACGAAAACTCAATGCGTTGTCGAACCGTATTTTTATAGACCTCTATAAGTGAGACAGATTCCTCCTGTAACTCTGTAAGCTAGAAATTCGGGTTAGTGAGAAACCTCTATAAGAGAAAAACAGATCGCGGTCCTTTGAGCTCTCACTTATCCAGGTTCGACTGTAGTATAATAATAAACTTAGCCTACCTTATCAGATAGTTGGGGAACGTGCAAAAGGCGGGGAAGTATCAGAGGGTGAGTGAAGACGGTAAGCCGTCTCACCACTCTGCATCTTTGCGATCGTGAATTCGACTCGCGACTCTCGACTTCTTAATTTGACTCATTCATTATAATTATTAATTTCGCTATTTAAACGGTTGCTAATTGACTTATTAACACCATAGATAAGTAGGTAGGTTTTAGCTTGCAATTTTAAATAAATAATGGAGATGTACCAACTTTGTACCAGTGACCTAAATATGAATTTTTGGATACTAAGTATCAATAGTTTTGTATTAATCAAAAACTATCATATTAATATGAAGCTGAGTGCCCTTATTACGGCTTTAAACTTTATCCTATGTAGGGTTATTAAGTTGAAATTCAGGATGGTCAAACCTAGGATAGAACTTTCAATGCAAGGGCTTGACACTCTGGTACTCTCCCTTAGCTACGTCCCAGAATTTATTGAAGGATTAAAGGATAGAGGATAACGACTCGTTCTACTTGACTCTGTATCGGACCTATAAACTCGATATGAAACACTGTATACAGAAAATACCACAAATGGCGCGGAAAAC